CCAAGGCCAGGGCTTTCACACCCCTGATGTATGATTGAGAGTGTTCGATTGCAGTCCGAGTCAGGTCAGAGTCAGTCCATGGGTATCAACTCTTCCGCTGTATTTGTATTAACTCTGTATTATCTGGTTGGTTCTGGGAATCTGCGCCATACTTATGACTGTGTTTCACAAGTATGCAACAGTGGGCATCTACCATAGCAGAAGCTCCAAGATCAACGCAGATTGAGGAAGCACTGCTCTCCTTTTGGGTGAGCGCTGTGTGTCAGCAGCCAATAGCACACCTAGCCTGGTGACCTGCATTTTGTTGAGGATTTGCTTTTTCTGGTTCAGCTGGAATACAGTAAGGAAGAAAGTAAAGCTTGCTCTGTAATTCTTTGCTGTCTGTCTCTTTTCAAAGCGATGGGCTCTCTCTGGGAGAAGCTGAGAGATGAGGAGTCCTCAGTCCCCTGGTTTCCACGTGAAGTCCCCTCTCAGCAGTTCGATCCAGACCTTGAGGATGCTTTTTTGGATGCCTGCGAGATTCCCCGCTAGGAAGTGACCCTTGCAGGGGGTTTGCCACTTTTAGAGTCTGTTTGTTGTATCACCCAGTTTTTATGCTCTTCTCAAGTCTTCTAACCGTATGTGTTCGACCTTCCATCTGCCCACCGGTGGTAGAGGACCATGAATGACCTGCTTCGTTGATGTGCAATCAGACTTGCTTTCATTCACACTTTACATGCATGCAAACAGTAGCGCAGCAAACTGGTGACATGCGCCCACTCAGTACTCAGAGATATGGCAACCCAGATACGAGTTCACTTCCAATGGCTATGGCGACACAGCGCCCATACAACTCTCTGTTCGCATACCCTGGATCACCCTGGATATCCCACGCTCGATACTCTGTTCACTCTCACACACTGACGCACTGAACACTAACTACAGCTATGGCGGCTATGGCCGCCGCTACCCTATCGCTATGGCTAAGCTTCGTCTCTTTGCCCACTTCGTCTTCGGGCTTCACTGCAGACCACCTCGCACAAGTCGCTGTGGCAGCGCTTCGGCATGGCTCACGCAGGAATGAATGAATGGCTGGGCGCTGCCTCTTGATTTATACTTCTGCAGTGCGTTGGTCTGGCACTTTCCCATGTCCGAAGTGCACACAGTCCCATGCAGTACTTGCTTGACTGGGACTGCTGACTCAGCATGGGCAGACTCCACCACTTGCCCGACCACTTGCCCACTTGCCTCAGCCTAAACGTGGGACACTCCGAAAGGCCAGTACTCAGGCCTTCCGGAAGGCTGTAGACTTGGCCTTTCGGTACTGTAGCGGCTACGACTTTGACCCTTCTGGACTGTAGCGGCTACGACCTTGACTCTTCGAGAAAGCTACAGCTAGGACCTCTAGACCTGACTGAGACTCCTATCCGACAGGTCTACAGATCGAAACCTGGCTACCTATGGACCCTACGACAACCTATCAACTGTTACAAATACACAGGTCGCGGGTTCAACTCTAGGGGTCGACACAGGTACTGTACACAGGTAAGGTGGGGACTAGGGATCGAGCCCTGGGATCTGCATCAGCTACTGCGAACTGGTGAAAAACATTTCAGATGATCCAAGGATTGCAGAGCACGTGTTATCTGAGTACGTCTTGTTTGTTTCTTGGTGAGCTCTTAGGTAACTTCAGCCGGAATGAATGCTGAAAAATTGTCACAATCTGCAGTTGCCCTCCCCTTTCCTTGATTGTCACCTCAATCTCCCCTCCAAATCTACTCTCCCACTCTTATTTGACCCCCTCCTCCTTCCACCTTCCCTTGTGTTCTTGCAATCCCTTGAGCCCCTTCATTCCAACCTGTTGAGTCTGATGATCCTCGAGGGCATACTCACACTACGTAGGACTTTTCCGACTCTGGTCATTATAAAGGGCAGACTAATCACTCGAGGACTTTTTTCTACAAAGATCTGGACGAGATCGCTGTCAGATTCACCCGGGTTTATCCCTAATTGCAGTCAGATGCATTCAGGAAGGTGCTAGTGGAGTATGCCCTAATGTACTCCTTCCAGGCGCTTTCTTGTGCTCACCCACTGATTCTTCCTACTCAGTTCTCACATTCAGAAATTGTCATGACGATCTCTGCAGGACAGAAGGCAACTGTCTTCAGCAAACAGATGCTGGAGGGCCGGGTCAAAGGAATCCGGCAATTTGCAATACTTTTTATCAAAGTCTTGTTGATGGTAAGAATGTAATCTTACCTGTAACCATAGTAAAGTGCTTCTGCTTGTCCCTTCTCTGCGTTTGTTTTGTGTCTGTGAGAGTATGTCGCATGAAGGTGTGCACTCCACACATTTCAAAGGTGCTTGCATGTCCAGCTCACATCCAAGTCCATGGTGCAACGCCAGGTAGAAAATCCGAAGGGGTTCAACGCCAGGTGGAAAATGGGGTTTGATCTCCGAAGGGGTTCAATGAAAATGGGGTTTGAACTCCGAAGGGGTTCAACGAAAATGGGGTTTGAACTCCGAAGGGGTTCAATGAAAATGGGGTTTGAACTCCGAAGGGGTTCAACGAAAATGGGGTTTGAACTCCAAAGGGGTTCAACTCCAGGCAGAAAATCCGTGTGCCCGGGCCAACCAAAGTGTTGCCCAGACAAACAGCCAAATGCCTGGCTGGGCATGATCTCAGGGTCGGGTTCTTGGTAGAGCCAGCACCAAAAAAAAATAAAAAATGACTTGCAAACATTTATCAAAGTGGGAATTCTGTAGAATTGCAATGCAATTATGCAAATGACTTGTTTTTTCCTAATAAGACTATCGTTTACTATGATAATATAAATGAGGTTGTGGTCCTCGCAATTTGCCTGGAAAAAGCACTGGGGGAAACTACCCAGGTTCAATTAGGTTGGAAAGCAGGTCCAGTTTCCCATAATTATTGACTGAAGTGGAATATCCACTAAATAATTGAATATGTGACAGAAGGCACGAAACTTTGGGGACATCTTCGGTTGAAAGCCTGAAGGCTTTGACCAACACCCGAAGATGTCCCCTAATCAGAGTAGTACAGCTATAGTCTCAGAAAAACACAATCAGAGGCAGAGCAAAACAGACACAGAAAACCCTTTTACAGTATGCACTCTGCAGTCTAACAAAATAAATACAAGTGAGGGCACACTCACACTACCACATGTTTTTGCAAAATCGCAAATTTTATGTAGTTTTTCGGGTCACAAGAGGCACGTATTTTCCGTGTTCACACAAAAGGGCACGTAAATGTCAGCGGCCTGGACAGCCGCGGGCTTACATATTTGTGGGGACCTCCAGAGGTCCCCGCAAAATCGTTCTTCTTTTTCCTCTACTGCTTTCTGGAAGCAAACAAACAAAAAAAAAAGTCCATTGTGCTGTCTGACTGCAGACAACGTATTTTCGCAGTGAATGGGAGAGTATAGTGCAAGTGGGAGCCCAGTGAATGGGAGAGTATGGGCACTTCCTGCTCAACCAGACGAATGAGGGGAACCTTGCAGTCCTTTATACTTCGCTTTGGATTGTTGCTGATTTTTGGTGAGTGGCAACACACGCACACACACCTCATCACATCCCCCTTGTACGGATTATGAACCTTCCTACCTTCACATTTGACTGATTGCCACCATTGCTGATATGACATAGGATATTTCTCACCGCGTTTCCTCTCCTTGCTAACTCCACACTTTCCCTCTTGTTCTGTTTCTGGGATGATATGGAATTGTGTTGTATGGACTTTCCCAAATGCAGGCTGTGGACCCTGTCCAGCACCTGGCACGTTTTGGCTGACCTCAAGACCGTGCAGATGCCGCATTCCTTTGGAGATTTATATCCAATATTTGACACATTTGACTGCTTTCAATGTCATCAACTTTTCAGATTCAGTGGCCACCAGTCTGAGTATTAATGTCAGTCAAATTGTGAATGTAAATCGGGTGAGTTCAACTTAAGCCCTTAAAATATCTTCGTTGTGTAAATGCTGACATTGCATTTTCATAAACTGCTACCAACATTGTGAAATCTTAACAAAACTTGCAATAGTTTACACATGTATAGCTATATGTCGCACTCCTTATGTGTGTCTATTTGTGTGAGACATAGAGGAGGGGAAAGAGGAGGTGGGGGTCTAGTTGTGAGAGAGAGTGTGGGATAGAGAGACAGACATGCACTGTGAGAGAGAGAGAGAGAGAGAGAGAGAGAGACAGACAGACAGACAGACAGACAGACAGACAGACAGACAGATGAGCGTCTTTGACATAAAAGTCAAATGAATGAATTGTACCTGAGCCATGTGGATATCTTGATCATGTATAGGCAATTGAAATCCCAATTGGAAAATCTGCAATCACATGTTCACAGATGCAGCCTCGGAACTTGCAATAGTTTCCATTTATATGGCCTATATGTTTTTTCATGTGCGGTTTCACACTGTGTGCGTGTGTGGGTCAATGCATGTCCATCCATCTGTGTGTATGTGAGTGAGGGAGGKAGAATTGCGGTTGAACTGGTTGAAGTCAAATGAAGCAGTCACGACTCCCCTTTCTTTGTCCTTTTCCGGGGCAGTCTTTAGTGACAATGTATGCATACAAGTGCCAAGTGCGGCTCCAGCTGCAGCCAAAGTTTCCTCTTCCTCGTTTTGTCTCTCTGTCTATGCATCTTCTTTCTCTCTTTCTGGCTCTTCTGTCTGGACATGATTCTGTTCATCTCCCTCTCATGTGTCTGTCGTGATATGCCTTTTCTGTCCGGTTCTTTCTTCCTCTCTCTCCCTCTTCTTTTTCCCCTTTCCTCTCTCGCTCTTTCAATAGACTTATCTTCCACCTTTTTTGTCCAGGAGACCTGCGTTGGGGGCACACGAGATCCAGATTGGTATACATTCACGCATTATGTATACAGGTGTTGCCCACGGTTGCTCCAGCTGTGGCCAAAGTTACCTCTTCCTGTTTTAGTTTCTCTCCTTCCGTGTCTTTCTCTCTGTCTTTCCGCCTCTTTTTTTTTTTGTCTGTACGTGGTTGTTGCAATCAGACTCGCTTCTTTTCACACTTCACATAGATGTAAACAGGTTGCGCAGCAAACTGGCGACAAGCGCCCACTCGAAACTCAGAGATATGGTAACCAGGAACACAGTTCAGATACAATCTCACTTCAGATGGCTATGGTGCATCAGCGCCTGTACAAATCTCTGTTCGTCACTCACTCRAYGCTGCTGTTCACACACAGGATCACCCTGGATATCCCACACGCATCACACTGTACRCTCACGCCCTCACACACGCTACACTCTTCTATCAGCTATGGCGGCTATGGCCRCCGCTACCCCTATCGCTATGGCTAAGCTCTCCTTCWCGCCCACTTCGTCTTCGGGCTCACTSCAGACCACCTYGCACAAGTCGCTGTGGCAGCGCTTCYGCATGGCTTACGCAGGAATGAATGAATGGCTGGGCGCTGCCTCTTAATTTACACTTCTGTATCTCGTTGGTCTGCCCCTTTCCCATGCCCGTGGTGCACATAGTCCCATACGGTACTTGCTTGACTGGACTAGGACTGACTGGGACTGGGACTGCTGACTCAGCATGGGTGGACTCCACCACTTGCCCACTTGCCTCAGCCTAAACGTGAGCAGCTTCAAAAGGCCAGTACCAGGACCTTCCGGAAGTTTCAGTCCTGGCCTTTCGGATACTGTAGCAGCTACGACCTTGACCTTTCAGGACTGTAGCAGCTACGACTTTGACCTTTCAGAGGTCCTACAACTACGACTTCTGGAACTCCCTAAGACCACTATTCGACAGGGCTACAGATCGAACCCCTACAATCTACAGACCCTACGACAGTCTACCAACTGTGGGAACAGACACAGGTTGTGGGTTCAACTCCTGGGGTCGACTACACAAGTAAGGTAAAGTCTAGGGATCGAGCCCTGGGATCTGCATTCGCTACTGCGAACAGGTGAATACCGTTTCACTCCCGCGGGCCTAAATTCGAGGTCCTCCGAGAATAACTCAGTCCAAGGCAGGACCTTTACCTTTCCAATCTCTCTCGTAGGCTCTAACTATGTCGGGAGCTGTTTCTAGAAGTTCTGTCCTGGTAAACCAGTGGTCATCCTCTGGTTCCTGATAAGCAAACCGGACCCTATACTGTTTCTGCGGACGACCTCTACCTCCTGTTCTGAACACGTCTTCACCTACAATGCCTTCAATGTCGTACCTTCCGTCCATGCCTGGGGGTATCATAGATCTTCTAGAGGGAAACTGTTGACTTGTGACACATGGCAACAACTTTGACGCATGAAACACAGGGTAGGTGTGGAGGTGTGCTGGGATCTCTATGGTGTAGGACGGCCCATCCTCTCCGCCCTTTACTTCTAGAACTGGCCACGGTCCTCTATACGCGGGCAGTAACTTCTGCGAGATGTTTTCCTCAGGAGCAAACTATTTGGACTTGACCCAGACTAAGTCGCCTACTTGGAACTGCGTTGGGCGACGGTGCTTGTTGGCTTGCTCTATCATTCTGTGCTGGGCCTTCCTGAGGTTCTCGACGATTGTAGCTAGCTCTTTCTCGTGCTGTATCGCAAACTCCCTGGTACCGGGCGGTAGCCTGTGAATCTGGTCCCTCAAACGGTCTACGCGGTTTAAAGGACTTGTGCCAGTGCGTATAACAACAGCATGCACTTGCGACAAGTGGACAAGTGCATGCTGTTGTTATACGCACTGGCTACCTTGGGCAACATCTCGTCCCATATTGACTTGATCGGGTCTAATGTACATGCGCAGAACTTGCTGCAGGATCTTGTTCATCTGTTCAGTCTGATCGTTAGTCTTTGGATGACGGCCAGATGACATCAGCAACTTTGACCCATAAACTCTCATCAGTTCCTGCCAGTTCTGACTCGTGAAACGGGTATCTCTATCACTAACGATGGACAATGGGACTCCATGCTCACTAACCCAAAAAGCGAAAAACTTCTGAATGACTAGCTCGGTGCGTGCCTCTGCAGGCAAAGGAACAAAAACAACATACTTACTTAATCTATCAACTATGACCATGACTTGGCTCTTACCATGCCTACTCTTGACGCCGACGTCCATAAAGTCAATAGACACTGAATCTCCTGGCTGATCAGGAATAGGCAAGGGTCTGAGAAGACCTAGAGGGGCACGCGTAGTAGTCTTGTTTCTTTGGCATACCTTGCAACTGCGGACGTACTCAATGCAGTCAGCTTTCATTCCTGGCCAAATGTACGCATGCATCAGAGTGGCTAGAGTCTTTTGCCAACCGAAATGTCCCTGTGTGTCGTGGCATTCCCCTAGGATCAAACTACGGATCTCCTCGCTGTTAGGAATGCACAGACGGTCTACTACATTGGTCTTATCAAACAATAATCCTTCCGTAGTGCGGTAATGTGGTTCGGTCTTTGGGGCCTCCTTTAACTCTCTTGAGGAGGTCACTATAAATAGGGTCATGCGCATACACCTGTTTTACTCTCTCTTGCAGGTCACTCCCTATATCCAGATAGTGAACTATGGCTCCAAAGTAGTCTGATCTCCTACTTAGAGCATCCGCAACTACATTGTACTTGCCTTTAACAGGCTTGAGCTCGAAGTCGTACTGGTCTATCTCAGCGGCCCACCTAGTCAACTTAGGTGTCATTTTGGCATGTGTCTTCAACCACCTAAGAGTCTCGTGGTCTGAATACACCTTGAAGTGCTCCTATGCAAGTAATGCTTCCAGTGCTCTAAGGCCTGCCTGAGAGCGTAGAGTTCTCTCTCGTACGTCGAAGTAGCTACCTTTTTTTAGGGCATCCTCGTACACATGAACTCTACGGGTCTGTAGCCATTGCCGCCGTCTTGCTGTAATACGGCACCTATACCATACTGACTCGCGTCCGTGGTGACAACAAATGGCAAAGACGGATCTGCTACTTTGAGGACAGGATACTCTATTAACGCGCACTTTGATTTCTTTAGCGCAGACTTACAGTCTTTATCCCACTGCCAGATTGCCTCTTTCTTGAGCAACCTGCGATAGTCGAGAAGTTCCTCACGAACGTCCTATAGTAGTTAGCTAGGCCTAGGAACGACCGCAACTCAGTCAACGTGCGAGGCGTCGGCCAATCTCTAATTGCCGCTATCTTGCTGTCCTCAGGCTTGATGCCATCTCCGTCAAGGACGTGGCCGAAGTACAAGACTTGTGTCTTGGCCCACTCGCACTTCTTCGCATTGATCTTGAAGTTAGCCTCTCTCAACTTCTCCAAGACCCGCCTCAAATGACCCTGATGCTCTTGGAGGGTCTTACTGAATACTAATATATCTGTCTAACCACAACCTAAACAAATCGTTCATACAACGCTGGAACGTGGCAGGCGCATTGGTTAGTCCAAAGGGCATCACTATAAACTCATAGTGCCCATATCTAGTCCGGAACCAGTCTTGTATTGGTCATCAGGATGGACCTCTATGTGATGATATCCGTACTTCAGATCGATCTTCAAAAAAAATCTGCAACCCTGCACCTGATTTAAAAGATCGTCTATCCTGGGCAGTGGTTCAGCGTTCTTCACTGTGATCGCATTTAGACCCCTACACTCTATGCACATTCGTAACTCTCCTTCCTTTTTGGGGACAAGCAAGACTGGTGCTCCAAAAGGAGATGAACTGGGCTTAATCCAACCCTTTTCTAGGAGCTCGTCCAACTGCTTACGCAGCTCCTCTAACTCCCTTGGGGGCATCCTGTAGACTGCTCCCTTAGGAGTCCAACTACCAGGCTTTATCTCTGTACGATGCTGGATCGGTTGCGGCACTACTCCTGACGGCAGCGCTGCTAAATCCTTAAACTCTTCCAGCAGCTTGGCAATGGCTGGTTCTATGGGTGTATCCTCCTTAGGCTCAGTGACAGGCCTTACATAAGTTTCAAAGACCTGTTCCTCTGACAGCTTCTTTCT